ATTTCAGACTTTTCTTTTGCCATTGCTAGGTTAAAAGGTTGGTCCAGTTTTAAGGAAGCAGGGTGAAAATCATATTTATCTTACTGAATTGAAGATTTGGCTAAAAGTTGGATCCTTCGGTACAGCATACTTGCACAAACATTTAGTTGTGTCATGGCTTAGTTTAATTCCATTCTCTGCTTCCCTTTAAAAAAAATAAAATAAAATGAGCCCACAGCCAAGTCTGCAGTCAAGCATCACAATCCATGACCTTCATGCCACATTGCATCTGTAGATGAACAGATGCTCGGATATATTCATCATTTAACACGGATTCCTCATTTTTCTGGACTGAATAAAACGTGCATTGAATTTAAGGAAATGCAAACGTGAGACGTCATTTACGTTTGACCCATCAAAATGAATGCGGTCATTTATTTACAGAATCAAAGTTTAACATCAAACATTTACATTAATTTGGCAAATTATGAAAATAACAACATAAGCAATCAATCAGGAAAAATCATACGGCCATGATTTTTCCGTTGCTTCACCACAGACATTTATGAAAACTGTACAATTATGATCTTTTACCCACATGGATGTGGGTGAGCATTTTACACAGACATTTCTAAAATATCTGGAAGAATTTCTACTTGAGAGAAAAGTTTAAAGATGAAAGAAGTTAAGAGGGAGTAAGAGGGTGTGTGAGGGGAAGTAAGTGTTCACCAGAACCGACACTCTCCATCAGAAACCCAGCTCGCCTCGGTACGCTTGGTAGGAAACTTGACCCATTACCTTTCTGATGATAATCAGCAGATATGGTGTTCCGTTAACGCTACCTGTCCAGCGTCTCCTTAGTATGGCTGTAGCTCGTCAGAAGTAGTGGCGAGTGAAAGTGTTATATTCCCATGGAACTCGGAAGAGCTTTGTTGTCATGTCAGGATCATCCCGTCTCTCACAGAACTGAGCAGAACTGAACAGAACAGAACTTCTCCAGAGCTTCAACAGAACTGAACTCTCAGAACAGAACTGTGCAGAAACAGCATCCGAGCAGAGCTTCAACAGAACCTTACCAGAACTCGAAAACTGAGTAGACCAGGAAGTACTGACATTTTAAAGAGCTGTTTCCCGGTTCACTTTTGGGAGTATTACCATTGGTCAGAACCGACCAGACGGGGTGTGTTTTGTGACGTAAGAGGTTAGAAGACAGCCAGAATTGTTATGGAAAGACCAGAAATGTTCTCACAGACAGAGAGAGTTTTGTTTTGGCGCGTTTCAGAAACAGGTGCCAAAACTTCTATATTTACGTCTGAGAGGATTCTAAAAACATGACTGTTCTAACATAACAACTTGTTTTGCGTTTGACTCCAACCTTGGACCAACTTACACTTGCTCATTCAAAAGCAGAAATCAGAAAAGGCATAATTACTCTGTTACAGCTTTGACATGAGAATAAAAATCATTACTCAGTTAATAAAATTGATTAGTTCACTGCAACATCTAAAATGGTTTGAACTAAGACATTTTGATTATCAACATTTGTAAAATAGTAATGATAATAAAAAGAGAGTGTTCTTTTCACTTGAATCTTCAAGAAAGAAAGTCTCAGGATGGGTGAACCTGTACCTCTGAGTTCAAATCAATGAAATGACAGTCCCTGTCCCACAAGGTTCTTAAGGTCAAGATTTTTGACCTTAGACTTAGTTTTTACATGGGCCTAGTCCACTACACATCCAAAAAGTGATCTATATTACTTCCTCTTCATGATTATTTGTTATAGCTCAACTGTGCTGTTGGGCATTTGTGGCTTTACATTATATAAAATGTAAATTTGAACACAACACCACTCAAACATGTTAAATGGTAATTGAAGGTGAGTGTTTTACAGTTTGGATCAGTATATGGGATTCATTATGAGCATGGCATGCATTCAGCTGATCACTAATGTGTTGCTGCAACAGCGTGTGTGTCAAAGGTGAAAAACAGCAAGGTGAGAGGAGGATGACTCACCAAGTGCCTACCTAACAATCGAGCTGAACAATTTGTTCTCATTCCAGCACTTTATTATATTCTGTATAAAAATCAGCCAAGTTGTGTTGGAGCCACAGAACTGATTTTGTACAAAATAACTGTGTGACCAAGTGATGCGTACACAGTATGCTCGTTGAAACTTTTTAAAGAGATGTTTGGAAGTTAGTTTTAAACTTACACTTTAGTATTGATATATGATCATCATGGGCGCATGGTTGGCATAGCTGGTAGAGCTGCTGCCTCTCATCGAGAAGGTTACCACATCGAATCTCAGCCGGGGGCCATTCTAGTAGGAGTTTGCATGTTCTCTCTGTGCATGTGTGGGTTTTCTCTGGGAACTCCAGTTTCCTCCCACAGACCAAAAACATGCATGTTAGACTGATTGGTAACTCTAAATTGCCTGTAGATGTGAGTGAGAGAGTGAAAGTTGTTTGTCTCATTTGTCTTGACAACCTGTGATGGATTTGTGACCTGTCCAGGGTGTCCCCCGCCTCTCACATAGTGACTGCAGGATTTGGGCACCAGTGACCCCCGTGACCTGGAAAGGAAGAAGCTGGCAAAGATAATGGATGGATGGATGAATGGATATAACAATCATAAAAATATCTGTATTAATTTTTTTTAACTAATGTAGTATTTACTGATATTCTTCAGTAAAAAGTGAAATTCCTTGAAGGATTCCTTGAATATTTTCTGCTGCCTTGCATGCCAAAATTTTAAATAATTTTGCATAATCTGAGTATTTACAGCTTGTTTTGAGGGTGACTCTCAGCTATCACTCACCAAGGCTTATCTCATATCTGCAAAATTACCTGGGGTATATATATATATTTTTTATGTATTCACTAAGGTTGATTAGTTGCATTGACTCAAAATGCTAGCCAGTTGTAGCCATGCATCGATTGATTAGTTTGCATTAAAATCCATCAATCCATCCATTTTCTTTTACTCACTTTGTCCTTTCTGGGTTGCAGGGCAACTGGAGCCCTCACTGTGCTAAAGGCAGGGTACACCCTGGACAGGTCTCCAGTCCATCACAGGAACACATAGAGACAAATGAGACAAACAACCATTCACTCTCTCACTCACACCTAGAGACAATTTAGAGTTACCAATCAGCCTAACATGCATGTTTTTGGTCAAGAAAGCTGGGTACCCAAAGAAAAGTGACACATGCATGGGGAGAACATGCAAACTCCTCACAAAAATACAGGAAGGAAAACTGCAACTTCTTTGTTGTGACGTGTCAGCTTTGCTGCCTTTCATTAAAATCATTGCTACATTGATAACTGGCAGACAGAAAACACACACACACACATACAGATAGGCAACTATACATTAGCCTGCCAAGCAGAAAGGTGAACAGTGAGACTACAATGTCTTTAAAAATGCTGCCTTTATTTTTAAGTAAGTAAACTTTATTTACAGCATATAGCACTTTTCGTAGATAAAAATCACAAAGTGCTTTACATAAATGCGTAACACAGGCTTAAAATAAAACTAAAGCGATAATAACAAGAGCTGATAAAAACAGTAAGTAAAACATTAAACTAAAAGCTTGTCTAAATAAAAATGTCTTAAGCTGCTTTTTAAAGGAATCAACAGAGATGGTCACACGAAGAGATGGGCGTGGCATTCCACAGTCTGGGGAAAGCCATGCCCTATTTTTGTCATATTTTATTTTGTAAAAGTTCCCATAGCATCACATACAACTTTGGGGCAATGAAACATACCTTAGCTATCAACACAATGGTTACTAATTAAACATAAATACCAGATAACTTATCAGAAGATTGTTTTATAAAGATGCATAAAATGAAAACAAGATCTTTAACTCAGGGAGGCATGAGTTGCTTATATATTATTATTTTGTTTGTTTCTTTCAAACTGAAGTAACTCTTGACAGTTTTGGAACTTCCAGGAGTTTCTTTTGGAACTGGTGAGTCCATACACCCACTCTAACTCCCCCATACACACCATATCGACTAGCACACAGAAAGTCTATTTAAAAAAGAGATCTCAAAATACCTGCCAAAGTGAGGAGCAATGAAAAATGTGACTAATTACATCTCTTTCCAAGCCACTGAAAGAGTAAATACCAAAGAAGACTGATGAATATTCACAGTGAGCACGATGGAATTGACTTGGATGTTGAAAACCAGCCAAAATGAGCATGTGAAGCAAAGAAAGAGGCAGCTTTTGATACTTATTTGATCAGTAATAGATGAGCAGACAGGCAGAGAGACAGATATGAACCAACAAAAGGTTTCAGGAAAGCAGTATGAGGCCCATACATCAAATTGTTTGAAAGCTGTTTCTAAGAGCTGTCGATATGCAAACACCAGTTTATGATCTAGCTCAATGGGTCATGCAGTCGTAGAACTTGGTACAACAATTAGCACACTACACTTTCAATAAAACTTAAATGATGAAAGCAAGGAATCCATTTTTCATGTTTGTTTGTTTGCCTGTAAATAACAAAGGCAGAGAATATTTCCCACTTAATAATTTGAATGACTCAATGTTCAAAATTGTAAAAATTTATTTTATTTTATTAAATAATGTCTCAGACATTCACAGCATCTATCCATTATCTTTTACCTGCTTCTTCCTTTTTGAGTTACAGGGGTCACTGGTGCCCATGTCCAGCAATCACTGTGCAAGAGGTGGGCTACACCCTGGACAGGTCTCCAGTCCATCCCAGGGACACATAGAGACAAACAACCATTCATTCTGTCATTCACACCTAGAGACAATTTAGAGTTACCAATCAGACTAACATGCATGTTTCTGGTCTGTGGGAGGAAACCGGAGTACTCAGAGAAAACCCACGCATGCACAGAGAGAACATGTGAACTCCGCTCAGAAAGGCCCCCAGCCAGGATTTGATCTAACGATCTGTTCACTAAGGGACAACAGCTCTACCACATATGCCACTGTGCCACCCATTCAAAACATAAACGTGTTTTTATTTTTTATTTTTTCAGGTTTGCAAGATGTTCTGCCAGAGTTCCTGCGTAGCCGTTTTGTGGAGGCAGCACTCAGCTATGTGGCATGTAACTCGGAGGGCGAATTGCTCTGTCACAACAACGACTGCTGGTGCCAGTGCTCCCCCAGATTCCCTGAATGCAACTGTCCATTTGCTGACATTAAAGTCATGGAGGAGAACTTGGAGAAGAGCAAAGCTGCCTGGAACAACCTCAACCAAGAGTTCATGGAATCAGGTATGTGTGGCCGATGTTAACAATTGACTCAGCTGAATTGACTTTGAGCCTAAATGTTAAATGTTTTTTGTCTGGTGTCTAAAATTGTATGGAGGGAGACATGTTTCATAGCTGTAGTGGGACTTTTGCTTTACACTAGAATGAGGATCTAATAGTGTTTCATGCTAACTTACAGTAATTGACAGAAGATGCCCACACTAAAAACTAAAGTTGGTTGGTCATCAGTTGGGTTAGTTTGACCAAATATTGTGCCAAATATTTTGAACAACATTCAACTTTTTGATTCAATAAAAGATAATTATGACTCATGTCTAACCCAAGTCAAGTGTGGTTGGGTTGGACACATGTCTTCTTCTTCACATTCCACCATTTTAGGCCAGAAGCTGACCAAATCAAACTTCTGATTTACACAGATTAAAGTTTTCAGCCATCACAATGGATTTCAGTCATTTTTACTGTCTTTGATAAAAAAAAGAAAATTGTGGGGCTGGGTTTTTTTTTGTTGCGGTTGTGTAAAGTCATCCAATCTAATGATGATACAGGGATTAAACTGACGCTGCGTTCAATAAATAAAAAGAACAGAGTCATGGTTTTACACAATGGCGGGGCATGCTTTCTGAAGTCCTCAGGTGCAAGCAGCAGGGTTCCGGTCAGAGAGAAACTGCAGGTCAGAGCACCATTTGTAGGTGGCAGTAATGCACACCATATGTTGTTTGCAATCGCTGATAAACCACAAGAAGAAGAAGAAAGCACTGTGGTTCCCCAATCTGTTACGGAAGCCGATCCGTAGTGTTGCTCATTTGCGCATGCACTAAAAGGATTATTTCCGGGTCACACGGATCACCTTTGAACAAGATAGATTAAGGAAACGTACTAGTATCATTCCGTTTATGAATAAGAACTGTCTTAATTTACTTAGAAAAGTACGTGCTCTATCTCCGCCGATCTTCATGTTGCTAATTTAGGCCACTCATATTTCCGTTAAAATCATTGACATACTTACGTCATGGTTAAAATGATATGCAGCTTCACCACTGAGCGGCGCCGTTTCACCATGGAAATAATTAATTCAGTATCTTGCAGTTTTTTCTCATTCAGCCCAGGCTGGGGGTCAGGTCTAACACGTCGCATATCATCTTAATGATTTGTAACAGAAATACAAGTGGCGTAAATTAGCTACATGAAGATCAGTGGAGATAGTACTTTTCTAAGTGAATTAAGACAGCTTTTATTCATAAACAACTACGATCCGTGCGACCCAGAAGTACACTACGGATTGTGCTTCCGTAACAGACTGGGAAATGACAAGCACCATGTTTAGTACAGTTCCTGTCCTGACCCAGCAGCAGCGTGGTTGTGAGCCCTTTTCTCTCAAAATGCACTCACAGACAGGAAGGATTACAGAGACAGTCAGACTCCTACAGCACCTCACCCCCGACCTTCACGAGACTTTTGTATCTAAATATAACTTTTATTAAATGTGAATGTGTTATTAGCATAGTCAGAGAGAGAGCAAGAGAGAGAGAGAGAGCATAGAAGCATTCAGCATGTTTGTGTCTGTAAAACCGGTCTGTCTGCTAATTAGAATTGGACGTCTAATTGGACGTGACACACAACTGGCTGATTGATGGATGAGCCACACGATCGACATGGAATTTTTATTTAAAATTAATTATTTTAAATTATTTAGCACCTGCTGCACGTTTGTGTAGCCCAGCGTTGCAGAAAAATCTTCCTCCTGCAGCATTGTGCAGCCCACACTGCTGCAGGATAAACTTCCTGCTGCAGCTAATCAGCTGTTCAGCTTGCAGAGAAGAGAAGTGGGCGTGGCCAAAAGCTCTTGGATGTGGCAAAGAGCAGAGGAGGCAGGGAGCTGAAATCATAAAATTATCAGAGTCAGAGTCAGAGTTTCTTTATTGTCATTCGCACCTCATGTGGTACATGTGGTGGAGCGAAATTATGTACACAAGGTCCCAGTTACATCATGTTATGTGTTACAGTTACATGTTATGTGCTCTCTTACAGCGTTTAAAGTTTAGAAACATTGTTTAGAATATTGCAAGAGTGTGGGAAGGGCTTAAAACGCCTTTATATATATATATATATATATATATATATATATATATATATGTCTGTATGTGTGTGTGTGTGTGTGTGTGTGTGTGTGTGTGTGTGTGTGTGTGTGTGTGTGCGCAGTATATGCACATGTACACACGCCAGTACATAAATAATAAAATTAACTACTACTTACTACTTGTACTACTATTCCTACTTCGCGATTTTTCACTTATCGTTGGTCTTCGGGGTACGGCTCCCTCGCGATAAACGAGGGACTACTATAATATTAAATGACTGAGCGGACATCTCAAATATAATCTTTTTAATTTTAAGTCAAAAATGTGTCAGTCTGGTGAATAAAAAATTGTAAAAGCTCGGCGCTCGAGGAGTAGCTACGTAGGTAGTTTCCGTCAAAATATTTTTATTTGCTTTATTCTGTGGATTTAGGATAAAAGAAAAAAGGTAAAACTCTTAAATGTAACTTGTAACAAAATATTTAACCTTGTTGCATTTGTTAATAACTTATGTTTTCACTAAGCACTGACTTGTTGTTGGGTTTTTTTGTTTTTTTTCCGAAAACAACATTGCAAGCTAGCTGCCACTAGCAGCAAGCACTAGCTTGTGCCATCCCAGCATGTATTTATAATAATGTAATTTTTACCTTGTTTTTTTAACTCAACTTTTTAGTAGCACTCATTCAACAAATTCACCATTAGAACACAATTTTGGGGACGAAAACTCAACTCAGTTTGCTGGGTCAAAATGATCACCCTGCTTACCTGGGTCCAAATTTGATGGTTACAGATTGGGTAGTTTTAAACTCAACAATTTCAGGTGTGTAACAGTAAAATTGGTGAAACAACAATGCTGTGTGTCGTTGAGAAAAAGAGGGATGCTGAAGCTTAGTATTACGAAGAAGGTAGTTTTCACTCTTAAATCTTAACGTGAAAGGCTCAATCTGTATTTAACCTATTGGGGTAACTAGTGCAAGCATAAGAAACATTTGGCATGTTAACTGAATTATAATAATTCTTGGGCACTTTTAACCCTCTTAAAAATAAATAAATTCCAGTGAGTTTTTTTTTTTTTTTTATAAAAAAAACTCTTACAATTTTTTTTTTTTTTTTTTTTTTTTTTTGATATAGGAGGTGTTGCTTGACATATAGGCTTTTTAAAAATATTTTGAGATGTATTTTAGTTTCATTTAACACACAGCTGCTTTGATAGCACACTTCTGATGTCTCACTGCTGATGCTGGCTGCATTTGTGTTGCAGTCCATAAATAAGAAAGATGAGCTGTGGACAGCTGGATGGGGGCTGTGTTGCATAAGTTTGTTTAATTCCAGCTTCAGATGGAGCAGGTGGGATGGTGATTTATTGCTCAAGCTGGAGGCTGTTTATGTTCGCTACCTCCGTGTTTATACAGTTTGTACCTGTGAAGGGTTGTAGTGATTATCTTAATGATAATTACTCGTGAAATTTGGTGACAAGCGGCGCTGATTAGTGATAAACTACCTGGTTTGTTGCTCAGTTGTTGTCTTTTCTTATTCCTCAAGATTTTGTCAGCCAAACTTTGCATTTTAGACCAGTGTGCTTCAAATTACCAGTTTCATTTTGTGCCAAAAATGCAGCTTGTTTTGGAGAGAGTTCTGGGTAAATGGTTTTCTATGGGGTGATCAAAGACTCATCTTCATCTGAATTTAATTATATTTGTTCTATTCATTATTTATTATTTATTTTTTGCTATATTTGCTATTTTTTGTTTCTTTGAGTTGAAATACACTACAATCTATTTTAGATGCTCGTCTTATAGAAACTGCATGAAACTGGCATCCTGAAGGTGGTCCCTGCAACAAAAGTATAAAGCTAATAACCCAAAATTCATTGCACATTCTGTTATAGATTATTATTTATCTTTTCAGCAATGTTAACATGCATGCTGCATGTTTTAAAGCAATGCATTCTTGCTACATTTCACATTTTTATTTATTCTTGAACATGCTTATTGTTTATAGTGCTTGCTAATATGGCTTTCATTCACATTGATATGTTGTAATTTTTGAAAAGAAAGTGCTGAAAAAAATTTAATACAAAAAATGCCGCTCATTTTGCCATCTGGACAAATACTTTGCCTCTTTCGCCATAACCACTACTTTATGACTGATGTAATAATAACTATTTGAACAAACGTTTTCAGAAATGACAAGACCATCCTTTTAAAATGACAGCTACATATTTTGATTTTGACCTTGCTCAAACTAACATGTTCTGTGATTATTTGTTGAACCCATGTGCAGACAGACAACAGGAGACTTCCAGCTAAAAAAAAAAAAAGCTACTCAATTTTGTTTTAAATAAACAAAACAAAATGCTGGCGGGGCAGCAGAACTTATTTTATGGAGGAGAAGACGACAGAACAGAACACAACAGCCATATCAGGACAATACACAGACTACTGAGGATGTTGAATAAATACTGAATGAATACAGAACACTGACGAGACAGAATGAGAAACACCTGGGGTGATTACAATTAGACACAGGTGAGACGGGAGCTGACACAAGGAAGAAAAACACATGGGGGTGCAGGAGAACAAAAAAAAACACACACAGAAACCCCACACTAACTAGCCATTACATCATCAATTAAGTCAAAATTAAACTAATTCTCCGAACTGAGGTCATTCAAACAGTTATCTATGACAGGTAACATATTATGTGTTCACAACTTTACCACATAACTTTAGAATGTTAGAACGATCCTTTTAACTTAGTCAAAGCAAACAGCTATTATTGAATTTAGGGAAAAAAATAACACAACGTTTTTCCCTATGCCATGATTCTTTAAAAGCAAAAATCCCACAACGTTGGTGAGATTTAATTTGTTTTCATCTTCCATGGTAAAGTTGCTGCATTTTTTTTTATGAACCTTTATTTAACCAG